AAGTCTCACAGTGCCACTGTCACAGCATTGCCAACATCCACTGTTTGTGTTTTCGCATGCAAAAGGTCATTGACCTTGGGATGTAAAATACATATTTTCCTAGAGATTCTTGTCAGTAGATTAGCAGGTCACAAATAGGTATTATGTGCTCTTTTGCCAGGTTAATAGCAATCATTTAGATGAAAATGGAAGCTGTTTAATTTTACTTATGTGGGACCACTCTAAAGTTTAAAGAAAAAATTAAAATTCTTAAGAATAACTTATTAAATAATTAGAAGACACTTTGTTTTCTCTGCATATTAGATTTAATTTAATTCATCAGCACTTACATGTCACCAACTTAAGGAAATGTCTTCCCTGTTGAAACTATATAATTCTAGGAGGTAACAGAATAAATTGACCTCAAAAAGTATTAATAATAAGTTCTTGTCAGTCATCTATTGTGATAAGAAGATTGAAGTAAAATGTTCCAAGAATTCTTCATAAAAGCTATTCTCATAAATACAAGGGGTGGTGGCAAAAGCACAACGAATATCATTTCTGAGGGGCCAAAACCTTTTCATTTTCTTTAAAATACTCCAATTTATATCAGATATGTTTTTCATGTTGACTCGCTTTCTTTTTATCTCCTCAACCAATTCTGGAGACTGTTTTTCTTCATCACAATTTGATATTTTGATGCGACAACTTCAGGTATATTGAAAAAGTAACTCTTTAATTGGTAAGACCAAGAAAGAAACATAAGGCTCATGGGTCTACATTCTGGAAAATAAGGCAGGTGTAGACATACAATAATTTTCATGTTGGGTTAGAGTATTTACTTCCTAAAAGGAATATGTCTTGTGGGTCAGAATTAATGTAAGAATGGTGCTATTATTGAAACTGGAGTACAGACCAACCAGAGTATTTTTGAGAAAATTGACTTGTATTTATTTATATGATTTTGAAACTTTGAGACATTTTCCAATTTCTATTACTCCCATATACATGATATCATGAATTCATAATTATTAGAAACCTCAAAATTGAGATAAATGATTAAATTTGAAAACATTTTCCTTTGTCTACACCTGTATTTCAATGTCAACCTTCTCAAAGATGTTACAAGAAGGGTATAAAATAGAGTGCAATCTTATTATATCATCCACAACTTGCATTGAAATTTGAAACAATTTTTGAAATTATTGCAAACACAGTTAATTCCAAAAGTTAATGAAACTGCAATGTGTTCAACTTACTGGTAAACAGTCCTATGGTACCTTACACTCCATTTCATATGTGCGTAAGTAAGAAATGTGTGTATTTGATACCTTGGTAATTATTGATGAAAAGTACTGGTGCAGTATTGTTAGATACAACAAAAACCCCTTAGCCAAATTGCTCTATTGAATAAATAACACATGCCAACAACTGTATTTAGTATTAAATGTTTGACAATATTACCTGCCTCAAGAATTATCCAGAAATTTATATACATGGGGCTTTATACTGGACAACACTGCTCCACCAAATTATTTTAGGAAACTAAGTGAAAAGTATATTGAAAGTATTAAATCATTGTGCTGATAACTGTTGCTGTTGTCCTATTAATAACAGCACCAGTAGACGTGCCACATCGTATAAGTGATTGTCTACATTTTTGTACACACACCATTGGACCAAGCCACTACACTGCAATGAAATGGAATTCCATTGTAACATGTACCAGCATCCCCATCAACTAAAGAATTGTTTTTTGCATATAATGCAATCAGTACACATATCTTGGAAAGAATTGTATTAAACGTCCTCTAGAAATAATAATCAAGTTTGTAATTTGATGCACTACCTCAAGAAATCCTATGGTAACCTCCCAGCAAGTACCTTATAAACAAACATTGAGATATAACAGAAATGGTAGTAATTATCTGGTTTATGTTTGTATGTGAACTTGAACACAATGGTCATACCAAAATAAAAGCAGTTTTTTAAAAATAAAATGGATAAAAATACTAAATAAGTTAAGTAAAAAAAAAAAATAAAGACATTAAATAAATAAAGGCTGAAGTTTACTTATGGAGAATTTACACGGCATGTGTACGTCATTTGATGAAATCTTTTGCCAACCATACGGCGATTGAAGAGCAGCAACAATGGCGATGAATTGATAGTGGATATTTTGAAAGACAAAGAAACATAATTAGAATGGTGAAGGGAGCAAAAACTTGTTCCCCTGATAGCCTGCGATATACTCGATGTTTTACGTAAATCCTGAAGGATTCAGTCCCAGTGGCATAACTACCGCCAGCCCGGCAAGCGCAATTTACCTGGGGCCACCAAAACCAATTTTTTTCTTTTTTTTCTTTCTGAAAACAATTTACAATCCCCTTCTGATCGCAATTTGTTCATTACTATAATTAAGCTAGAGTAAAGTTGAATTACGAGGACACAAAAGTGTATTCCAAATCTGTAATTTGTCATCCTGGGGACCTGAGTATTTATTGCTTCATTTAAAATTTTTGGGAACCCTCTTCTGGGGTTGATTACACATTATTTGAAACATTTCATTGGAACATAAAGGAATGCTCAAGTCAAAGAATTCAAATGTCATATACAGTAATCCCTCCTTGGACCCCTTCTCTAAAAATATTACAAATAAAACCTTAGCATTTGTCCACAGAGAGCAGCAAAGTGACAAACTCGATAAAGTAAACCTGGGCAACGTTATAGATCTGCTTGTTGAAGCAAAGTCCTCAGAACCCTATTCTAAATTTGGTGATAGATTATGATTAATAAAGTTACTTTCAATTAGTTTTCGGTATGTTTTTTGTTTAGTGTTTTAGTGTTTTAACCGAGGCCTCAGAAAACCCAGATGCATCACTGCTGCAGTCTCCGAGTTACTTTGGAAATTATGTGTTGGACAGACTTAAGGATATGTTAATTGTGTGGGTCGGAGACTCATCATACAATTCGAAATGCTTAGCGAAGTGTCACTGAGTCTTAAAAGTACTGTATGTAATTAAATGGCGACAGCTTTGCAGGGCATTTGTTGAATATGCTTATCAGAAAAAAAAAAGAAGAAAAAAAATGAAGAAAAAAAGGAAGAAAGAAAAAATCCAGTTCTGTTACTGTGTCAGAGAACTAGCAAAAATTGCTTCTCCTTCTAAAATGAGCAAAGCGTTTATCGTTTTAGCCAACATAAAAGGCCTGGTGTATTTTTATAAGCATTTTCAACAAATATTCACGAGCGGAAAGGCGTCGTGTTTACAAATCACACTTTAATTACATAAATTACTACTAGCGTAGCGACACTTTGCTATGCAATTCGAATTTCACGACGGAGTTCTGGGCGGCTCCGGGATTCGACCTATGCAATGAAAATAAAACATCCTTGAGCTGGTCCAGCGCATAATTTACAAAGTAGCTCGGAGCTGCGACCTTCGGGATTTAGATAATTCATCGTGTAGGCTATATCCAGTGGCGTTGTTAGAGGGGGCTTGAGGGCTGCTTGAGGGGGGCAGACCCTCTCGGGTGTCACCAATTTAGAAACGACACCAATTAGAAAATTGTATGTTTGGACTTAAATAATTATTTATTTAAAAATTATATTTCAATTATTCTGAATTACATCGTTTTTAGACGACTTCTGAAACACTTATGAAAACTTAATATTTTTAGGTTGGCAACAGATTTCAATAACTGAAGTACGCTTGCCGCGTAATTCTCCGTAAGTAAACTTCGGCAATTTTTTAAAAATCTTACTGGACATCGTACATATTAGTTCCTCAACAATATCAGTGAGTTTATCAATGTAGTAACATCATTCGTAATCAAAAATGTTTTTCACTTTAAAATTGATTTTCCTTTTAAAAATATATCTGGAAACTGAGTTGCAGCAACGTCATCTTGAATTAATTACTTTCTAGAAGGTGTTGGATGCAGGTATTATAAAAGTTTGACTAAAAAACGTAGGCCTAGTTTTGTGATGTACTTTTTTCTTAGGGTTTGCTTAATACCTATCTGAAAGTTGCTGTTTCAGATAGCAGAAACGGATGATGTTTGATAATGGCATAAGAAAATAAACCTAACAATTAAAATATACTGTTAATAACTGTACGGAAGGAAGAGAGAAATTTTATCTCTTAGATTCATAAACGCAACTTTTCTTCGACTCTGTATGTAGAGTTAAGATGAAATGCAAATCACTAGCCTTTCATTTATTTTCTGAATAGTATAACATCTAGAGAAGAGATAAAGCAGAGTTTACACTACTTAAAAAAAAATGAAACCAAAACAAACATGATTAAGAATGAAAAAAAAAAAAAAAAAAAAAAAAAAAAAAAATCATTACTGAAAATACATATTCAAAAAATTATCAAAAAACAGCATTGTTTTTTCTTGCAAGGCAGTGTTCAGACACCTTCTAAATGATTTTTTTTAAAAAAAATATATATTTTAATGTTAGCAAAAACTGAAGTTCAAAGAATGCTCTTAAAACATAGTCAAAGTATGTAAATAAGGTTAATGAATGTTCACAAAAAAACAATAAACAAGTACCTACCTCATCTATTCTTTTTGGTCTCAACATCCAATGGGTTAAAAACAACTTTTAATGTACTTTTTACGGCATTTATTTGCATTAGTTATGTTCAGAGTCAATGGTAGCATTCATTACTTTTCTTGTGAATTTAGTAGGAGCATTTTTGTGAGCATCAATAAAAAACACTTCAGGATTTAGTTTCCTGAAGTCAGAAGTTTCAAGAAAATGTTCTCAAGAGAAAATTTACTTCTTTTATTACAACCATAGTTTTAAATTGTGTGAATAAAACAATCAAATTTACTTTCTACATCATCCAAAACTTAAAAAAATACTGAGGTAAAAATACAGTAATTTTATGTCCAGTGGGGCTTTACTCATAAAAAACTGAAACATGTAACAAACATTTATTTTTATTTGAACAGTCCTTTGGATGAAATAAAACAGAAAAGAGGGGAAGAAGATGAAGAAGGAAAAGGAGGAAGAAATGGAAGGAAGTCAAGGGAAAAGGAGAAATGGAAGCAAAGAACATAGACATGAATAAAGAGGAGGAAGTGAAGAAGAAAAATAAAGATGGGAATAAGATGGAAATGGAAGAAAGTGGAGAAGAAATCACTCTATTTGTGGCAACGTTTTTTATTATTTTTTTTTTAATAAGTAACTATTCAAACACTAAGTACCCCTTGAAGTCAGGCCATACCAAAGAATCTTACTCTCTGTACTTTGGCTTTTGTCAATGCAATGCAGAATCCAACCTTCTAATAGGTAAGATATTTTATTACAATAATTTTCGAAAAAATAAATATCAATTTTGAAATAATTCATCCAGCATCTTGTTTTTTTCTAGCCCTTATTTGACTTATTTACATTTTACTGTAAAATACATTAACACTTTTTTGGTTTAGTCACCCTCGTGTTCGTAGACAACTCGTATTTCACGACCTATGAATCCAAAAATTCTCAAAATTGGTAGTACAAATCATATTCGGAGTACACCCGAAAATATGGAGTCCCTAGTATTATATATGGGTACCTTTGGAGTACTTAAAATACATAACCAAGATATATTATAAAAAGAAGCCCAGAATATAGAGAGAACTGAAAAAGTCAGGCCGAAAGAGTAACTTCAAGGAATCATTTTGCAGATCTATCTCGTCTGCGTTATATTATAACGCCTTCAAACTCGGAGGGAAGAAATTGTCACTTGTTAGGTAGCGTGATACCAACACTGCCCGTTTAAGCACTATTGAAATTGAGACTAATATATTTATTTATAAAATTCATTACACACATTTTAAAGCATATGAAGATTAAATTTTTGAAAAAATATTGCCCAAATTGTATTGGCATCGACACGCTTACCATTGTTTTCCATTACTACAAACGTAGTTGGTACCACGGTGAAACCACCATGGTTGGTACTTTCCCGGCTACTTTCTACCAACTTTTGACAAATTGCTGAAATTAAAGAGTACTCTTTAGCTGAAATGATCTCAAACTGTCAGTTCACTCTTATTAAGAAAAAAATATGTTTTAGGGTTTAACACGACATCATATACGTGAACCGACGAACCCTCTGTTCTCACAATAACATGAACAAATTATAACGTGCAAATGTAATATACTCGCATGCCGCTTTCTTTATACTTGCTCCCAGACTTTCGATTTAATGGTATTTCCTCAGAAAAGTAATAAAGTATTCAGTTCCCCACAAATGTAATCAGTTTTGGTCAGTTCATGACGCTTGGTTTCGTATACGATGATTTCATAAGGCCCTACCTGTAGATTAGGGCCTACGTGCTTTTGCCAAGGATGAACATGATTGTGTTGATCAATGCTTTCGATATGTTGATGAATATGTCGCTCTAGGCTTTTGCACTGAGAATCGAGTTTAGAAAACCCTTCCTTCGTTTTATTGATTTATTTCGGAACATTTTCATGAATATACTCTTGTTATAATCGTATCTTCTATTATGTTTAGCCCACTGTGTAAGGAATCTTACACCGTGGTTTAGCTCTATAATTTTTTATTTGAAATGTCAATGATTTTTCATCCTATTGTAAGCCAGAACAATATGTTTTTGTAAAGATATGAAAGTATAATCACATAGGAATACAAACTCTTCAGAATTACTATTTAGTTCAGATTAAATTTAATTCTCTCAATGCCATGAATATACGCAATTAAATAATGAAACGGAATTACGGCTATCTGCAGAAAAGGAGTTAAATACTTCAATATTTTAATAAACATAAAATGAAATGAAAATTCGTAACTTTTGGGTGAAGATGGCAACGACGTATCGCGAAATGAAAGTACCGCTTGACAGGAAGTTTCGCAAGGAACAAGCATTCCACGCATTCTTCTTACTACTATTAAGTTCGAATATTTTGAAACAACTACTTTATTTATGAAAATTTTTGTATGAACTAATTTTTAGTTGGCACTTTTATGCAAAAATGTTTACATGGGTATTAGTGAACTATTGCGTGCTTTTGGTAGATTGGTATTTATGTGGGCGTTTATATGAATGAAAGTGAGCGGTGGTTTGTGGGTGTGGGGAGAGTGGTGACGACTAGTGGCGCATGATCCGTGTGTGATGTAATACGCATCTGCCGAGAAACCTTGTCGATTTCGTTTTGTAATATGTTGTGTGTACATCAGGAGCATGGATGCGATACCACAAGGTTAGGAAATTGTAGGGTACAGAGTCTGTATAATTGTCATTTACTTGTGTATTTTAGATTATCCTATTTAGTGGATTCGCCAGTTCCTCTTTCCTGCCTGCTAACCTTAGTGTAGATAGCTCATCAGAGCTATTTTCTCACAGTGCAGCATAGCATTTTCATTATTCCAGGTGTTGCATGCCTTGTAATGACTATGTCTAATATTTAAAGTATCAGCCATTTAAAATGGGGCGAGGAGATGCAGAAGATTTATCAGAAGAGTATCGCCAAATACTACAATCCTTGAAAGGAACTGCAGAAGGCCTGCTGATTAACCAAGTGTCAAATGTTTGGAACATATATGGTGGCTTAAATAGATTACATCATGTTATGGAAAAAATATTTAAACATGGTTGCAGAGTATTTGATCAAGATGTAAGTATCACCTGACATCATGATTTGACATTTAGTTTGTCAGTTTACATGTGGTTGTTTTCAGTTCAATAAAAGGAGTCAAGTATTTCCAGCAATTGTAAAAAATAAAAATAGCTTTCCTTTTGAATTAAAAATGGTATTGAAAAACAAAGCTTTCATTTCATGCGAGTTTTAATGAAACCTCAACATTTTTAGAAATGTTAGGTATGACCTACTCTGATTCTGAGATTTGTTTAATTTTTATAATGCCAAAGGAATGTTGTGAGTTTTCAGAACTCGTTTATGAAAAGAAATGCATTTTGGACAAGATTTTTGTTTCTACTTCTTGTGACCTTTGTAAGAACATTGTGCAAGAGACTAGAACGTGTGTGCTACTGGAAGTAGCATAGTAAATAAAAACTGAATGACAGGTGTGAAGTCAATCCATGTTTTGGATATTTTATTCAATTTAATATCAGGATTGCATGGTTATACATTGATTTGTGTATCTTAATGTATCAGTTTTGTGTAAACCACTTTCAAATAAATTTATTCTTAGTTACAACCTTTTGTGACAGAATAGCTTCTCTCTCAAATTTGTATTGTACAAATCTTGTAGACATCTTTGTGGGACAGTGGATCTTGACACCACAATATTGTTAATTCAACAAGACAACAGCTGTTGACTGGTGGTTGGGACTCCCTCTCTTCACCCTTTCTCTTCCCCCTCCTGTCCCCCCTAACCTTCCTTCCCTCCCCCCACCATCTTTTCCTCTCTCACCCTCGTTTGCCTGCAATTTTCTCTTCCCAGGTCCCTCTCTCCTTCTCATTCCTTCCATTTTGTTTTCATTCCTTTTTCTCCCTCATGTTATCCTTCCTTCTCATCAATTTTCTTCTCCTCATCTCTTTCAATCTCCCTCCCCTTCCCATCTCTTGCTGTGTTCTCTCCCTCTCCCATTCTTCTTGTCCCTTCTTTTTTTCTCTTGTGTCCCCTTGTTTTCTCCCCTTCCCTTCCCTTCCTTCCTCCCTCCCCTCCGTTCCTGTCATCTCTAACCTGTTCCCTTCTTCTTTTCTCCCTCTACTAACATTGGCTCTTAGTGTCTTTTCTAAAAATATTCATATCACATTGTACCATGACCTTGTCCCTTTTCCTTCTCTTAAGGCTTGTCATTTCTAGCCAGATAATCAATGTCTTCTAACAATTGGCCAATTTTTAATGTATGGAGTCCAATTTCAGCATTGTGTGATCCTTTTCAAACTTCTGTTTCATTTCTGGATGGTTTTAGGTTTTCGCGTTTAGCATGTTTTAATTCGTTTTTAGTGTTACTTTTGTGGTTTCTGATTTTCAGGCCAATTAGGCCCTACATATGAACATCTTGAGGCATCTGATACATATTCTCAAGTGTTTTCTCATTCTTAAAGATAGAAGCATCAACTGGTTTGATAATGTGAACAATTTTGAATACACTGTGAAATATTTCATGAAAGAATACAAGTTGTATGATCTTGATGCCCAACTAGTCATATGTTATCAATTTGCAATAACCTGTTGTTAGACATCATTTATTCTCTTCATGTTTATGTTGTACTTTAGTAGGTGTAAAACTAAATTGTGCCAGATTTCTGAAGGTCATTTCTTGGACTCATTTCTTCATTGGTACATCAAGCTTTGATTACACAATTTGTATAATCAACACATTTAAAGATTGGCAGTCCCTGATTTTTTGTTTTGTTCCAGGGAGATCCAGATTGTTGGGTTTTTATCCAGGGTTTGAGCTGGCTCCAGCCATCTCTTTCTGCATCCCCAACATTGCTTACTGATGAGGAGGGTTCCCCAAACCTTCCTCCCAGTGTAAGCGGAAAAGCACTAGTGTGGTTGTACAAAAGGTGAGCTGTGCCATGTTCTTTCAGGATAGAAATACTGCTTTGGAACCAAGAAGTTGTCATTTGAGCGTGGATTCTAAGTAATTCTTTCTGGTGTGAAATTGTAAATTGTTGCTGCAGGCCTGATTTCGCTGCTTGCTGCTCCGGTTGAGTTGATCAGAACTTGACTGTCATCTTGTTTGGTGATATGGACCTTTTCAATTCTCTGTTGCTACGTTATTCTAGGACATAATTATAAATAATTATTAATAAAAAGTTAGAGTATATATTTATTTGCTACTAAGGCTTCATGGTTCATAATTATTTTGGTTGCAGATTTGGTTTATGGAGAGATAAAAGGAAAAAAAAACAAAGAACAACATCTGTAATGATGATTATAATAAAAATAATAATAATAATAATAATAATAATAATAGTCTCCCTAGATCTAGTTCAAATTTTTTAATGTTTGGATAGGTCTCATGATCTCCTTCTTTTTTTGTTATCAATATTTTACACTGTTAACTTCTTAGGATTACAAAACTCATTGGAGAGAATTTCATGAAAATTTTAACAAAACATAGATAGTTTGAGAGAACCTAACAACTTGTTCTATATTAACATTGCATCTCAGTATTGTTACTAACCTTAAAAATTCATACTCATTGCTAACTCTGAAAATAAACTATTGTAGTAAACTTTCTGTATAAATTAAGTTGTGCTATTAGTTATGGAAGTAGTTTTTAATTATCTTAAACATGTTTGCATAGCTGTGGGAAAGAAATTTTTCAATTTAATCCATTAGAGCCTTGTGATACCATATGATATCAGAACATTTTCATATTATATTGTTTCTAAACAACAATCTGATACTCATCTGTGTTGATTCATGTTTTTTGAATTGAATAATTGCCTTATTTTACGCTGTGAGACTCAGACCATGAGGCCTGCTCTTCCGTCTGACCACGCAAATTTCGCTACGCTCCTTTCACCAACTAGCAGAGAAAGGAGGTATTTCTTGGGCAAGAAACAGGTGGTTTGAATTTAGCTCAGGGGTGATATTTAGGCTAGAGGATCTTTTACATGCAAGTAAATCTACTAACTAACATGGGCAGCTGGCTTTACTTCCCCTCCAAAGGAAGGCGTACAAAGGATTTTTTCGCCCTTAAAAATCCACGGCTTTGATCGGGTTTGATCCCGCCAACTTGGGTATAACAGTCCCATACGCTAACAGTTACACCATTGCCGCGTTCTTTGATCAGTGACTAAGACCATGCCATTCTTGATTCCTTGATATTACTGGTGAACTGCCAAAGTATTTCTTTCTGCTCAGCTGTGTATTCAGAAGTTTTGTGATTGACAACAGATGTACAGAAATAGATGTTTCACTTATCTATCTAGGATAAAACAATTGGTAGTATTAACGTTGCAAAGTTAAAAAGACATTCAATAATAGAGAGTGAAAATATTCCCTCACTTACTGAAAGATTTTTAATAATTTTTTCTTCAATATTCTTTCTTCAAATATTCTGATACCAAACGGTAACACTGAGCAGGTTGAGTGAGCAATAGTCTGTTTTTTCCTGTCATCACTTGTTATTGATGATTTATTTTATGAATCGATATGTAGAATTGATATTTGAATTTTACAGTCCTGGATATTTTACACACGCTTTGACCGTTCTAGAAGCTGATAATACCTAAATTAATGAACCTGAGCAAATATTTTTAGAACAACTCAAAATAAATGTTCTAACATATGAAGATGTGCATTGATGAAATTCCAATCTTTCAAGATTGAACCTGTGTTTTGCCGCAGAAATACAATTTTTAAAAAATTGTATTTAGTATGTGTGCTTCCAGTCACTTAGAAAATATCCAGCTTTCAAGTGTAGCTTTTTTGTCAACTATATATAAGTACTTTTGTCAACTATATATAAGTACTTTTGTCAACTATATATAAGTACTTTTGTCAACTATAAAGTAATACTTTTCTTTGTGCCAAAATCCTTTTATTTTTACATGTAATCTATAACACATATCTTTTTTGTAATCTGATAATTTCTTTTGCTTTACGATGAATATTATTTCTTGTTTCAGTCTTGAAGGCCACACTTTGTCCCAGAAACTCTCCTGGTTGCTGTCAGATCGTGATCATTTGCTTTCTTGTTTTGAGAAGTCTGCCTATCTGTGTCAAGAGAAGTACGGACAGGCTACACTTATTTGTTTGAGAGCTGTTGAACAAAACCAGCCCTCTCTCCTTACTGACATTGATCCATGTTTGGTATGAATTTCTCTCATCCTTGTTTGTTAATTGCAATTATATATCTTTGCATTGTTAATGCTTGCTTTCTCCCCCCTGCATCCTCCCCTTCTTGCCTTTCTCCTTTTCCTCTTCCTCTCTTTGCCATTTTTTCTCTATCTCTACTTCTTTCTCTTTTGTTGACATGGGAAGCCTAAAGCCTGAGGCGGCTAACTACATTTCTGGGCCCTCTTTTCCATTTAGCTTTTTTACATATATACGACATATTTTACTAATAAATACATGAAACGGAGAATGAAATGGTAACTTTAAAGTACAGTTGGTCATGATCAAGAAGGCCTCTTTCTGAAAAATATGGAAAACCGGGAAAAAATCAGGAAATTTCATTGCTCTGGAAAAGTCAGGGAATTTGAAGAAGAATCAGAAGTCGGGGAAAATTTTGAGAGGGCTTTAAAACTATATATTATTCCTTAGAAATATTAGTACAGTGTTAGTTTTTGCTTATTTTTTATGAGGTAAAAAGATATTGTTAATTGGTATTTTTTCACAGCGAAATCCAAATCCAAGAGCTGATCAATTATTATTATTATGCTAACTTTAATATTTTCTTTATATATCATATCAGAAAAATATAAAAATGTACTGTAAACCACCAAAAGCCAGGGAAATTTGTATCAGGAAATGAGTGGCCACCCTCGTGATTCAATTGATTTCAAGTTGAAACATTTACAGAGTCAACAGATGGTTTGGAGAACTACTTCTCCAAATTGTCAGGATAAAAAAGAGAAGAATCAAATTGTCATAGCCCAAGACTCCTCATGTGCACCCACCTATGACCTCTTCCTTCTCTTCTTCCCCCTTCGTTTCCTTCTCTTCTTCTCCCTCTTTTCCTTCTCTTTTCCTTCTTTTCCTTCTCTTCTCCTTCTCTTCTCCTTCTTTTCCTTCTCTTCTCCTTCTTTTCCTTTTCTTCTTCCCTCTTCTTCCTTTCATTCCTCTGCCCTGCCCCTTTTTGATTTTCTTCCCCCTTTTCTTTCTTTGACATTTTCAGCTCTTTTCTGTATTGTTATGCATTTTTTCCCTGCCTTTCCTTTCCAATATTCTTTGTAGATGTGTCTTTGACTCATGACTAATATTTCATTCCTCCCAAGAAACCTTCAATATTAATGTCAAAATTTAATTTTTTTATTGATAATATCACTTAACATCTACCTTCTCACTTTATGCCCTACTTTATCGGGAATATTTTGTAATGAATAATATTTGAGCTAGAATGCTCCTTTAGTACTAAGTTACTTTAGTTTGCTTACTTAAGTAAACATAATGTCATTGCCCTTCCAGAATAACTGTTACTGATTGTGTGTTGAAGGACATTGTGAATTCATACATATGAATTATTTTCAACTTCATGATCTAGTTGTGTTATGAGCGTCTAGTGGGCTTTTTCATGTTTTCAAGTGTTATTCTACTTCTTTTTATTTCAAAGTTAAGATCTAATTAACTTATGTGTATTATCTTTTGTCCATTTAAATTGATGACTAATTGAGATTACCTCAAAGCTGCATTAAATAATTTGTTACATCACTTAAATAATGCAAAAGTATACATAATTATATATTAAGAAAGTTCATAAATGTTTTATGAAATTATAGTTTGAGGAAATAAATCACTTACTTTAAAAGAAATGTTCCTGATTCATTCTACAACACTTCTACACAATTCAATTTGTCTTACTCATCTTATCTTACAAAACAAGTGATAATGTGAAGATAAGAATGAAAGATAAAATTGCTGATCTTATGATTCATGTTCACCACTTGTTTCATTGATGCCTTGAATGTATCCTTGACATGGTATAAGAATATTAAAATGTGGGTCAGGCTGTACTACTGCAGTTGAGATTTTGTATTTGTAATGTAAAAGAGAAATTTTGGATCTTCTGGAAAGAAAAATGTGTTAGTAGAACTTAAGGTTGCATGATGCTAGAAGAGTACACTTTGAGTGAATTATGTGGATTAATGCTTCTTCTAAAATTCCAAGTTCTTGTTTAGCACTTCCCATCCTCTAATATTTTGTTAATATTGGTTTTCCAAAGTTTACAATGTTAAAAATGTAAAAAGTTTTTATATTTCAAGATTATTAATAGCAAGTGGTAAATACTCCCCCTGCCTTCATTTTATTACTTCTCATTATTTAACATGTGTTTGAAAAGATTGACTAATTCTACTTCTACTCTCTCATATTCCAACCTGTTTTCACTGTTGCTTTTTTTCTTTTTGCAGTATCTTGCTTCATGGAATTTCAGAGTTTTTCACAAGACGCATCGTAAATGCTCCTCGTTTCCGGATACAAAATTCAACCCACGATACCATGGGCGGCGGCGTTTCCTGTTAGAGAAACAGATATCTGCAGATGCGCATTTGTCTGAAATCATGTCGAGAGTGCCTATGAAGAAATCTCCACTGGGGACAGGCTGTTTCGGTAGTGACATCAGAGATGCTGATAAGGAAGAAGAGGAAGATCGACAAAGCTTTTGTGAAGAAGCCACCGAGTGCACATTTGCTGGAGATAATGACAGTGCGGCTACAAATGATTCAAACAATCAAGAAGATGAAAGTGAAAGTTTGGAAAATTCTGCTGCTACAACTACTGCAGAAGCCAAACTACCTGATGTGGTGCAAATTGTTAAACGTTGGTATAGTCTGCCTAGCTTAGTAAATGCTGCTTGTTCAGAAGCTAGTAGAGAGGCTTTATCTTCAACATCTGATGGAAATTCTTCTTCTTGCACAAAACTTATTGTGCATTCGTATCCTTCCTCTCCAACAAGGGGACCATCCCGTTCATCTAGTCTTGTTTTCCGTTCTCCTGAACAGTCGCCTTTAGAAACTTCAACATCTGTTTCTGCACAATCACCTTGTTCCAAGCTGTCCCCCAGTGTTTTAGAAATAGATTACAGTACTATAGAACAGCATTCTGATAATGATGTTCCCTTATCCCAAAGATGTCCCCGAAACTGGCGAAACGGAAATGCTAAACTAGTCACCAAGGGGACCTGTCTTAAAAGGCAGCTGTTTTGTGGAGACGAACCATCTGTGAAGTCTAGACCGTTGTCTACTCGAAGTACAGCTGTATTGAATACATTAGTCACCAGTAGTGGTAGCTCTGACACCCTGAATCACGAAGCCAGTAGGTTAAAATTATCCCAAGCATCAACTTCTAAAGGAAATGTCCCATGGTTGCAGACAAGTGTGCGTCCCTGTGAACTGAAACTTCCCAGAACCCATTGGGAAGAAAGTGAATTGGACGCTCCAAGATCTCAAAGTCGAATTAAAAAGACAACTGGGAAGACTCGTCGGGTATCATTAGGTGTGGTGGGATCGGCTCCGGAATATGCTCATGAATGGATGGGGGCAGTGGATGGTAGTAGGAGGCGTGTGCATAAAAAGAGTTTCATTGAAGATGGTGGTAGCAGTGTATTGCCCATGGCGACTGGTTTTTTCCCACGGCCCACGCAAGGTCAAAGTTTGGCCAGTTTTCTTTCATCTGGTCAATTTGCAAGACCTTCAGCAGAATTGGATCGGGAAAATGCACATTTCAGTGTGTGTGAAGCTATGATTGCTGCTATTGAACTGGTAAGTTATTACTTGTTACTTGAGATCGTCTCGGTCAAAATTTTCATTGTCCACAATCGAAGTGATGGAAGTTCAGATAAAGAATTCAGTGACTTCTCAGAAACAATGAAAAACTTGGATTCAGCATGTGCCATTTTAGGACTACCGCCTACTTGAAAATGAGAATATTACAATAAGCAAAAAGATCTGTAGCTTTGAAAGAAAAAAAACTGATAAAGTTTCCACAACTATTAAAAAAATGGAAGTTTCATTCAAAAACAAATTCCGACATTCAATCCAGATAATGCTCGTCACCATTAACTGAAAGTGAACATAAAGTTCAGAAGTTGTACCATTGACACTATACACAATTCATTCTCAAATTGGTCCCGCAACAGAGATATTTCAGTTCAAGTTCAGGAAAAAATCGAAAATTCCAATTTTTAAGAGGATGTAATTTTAAGTTGTAAGTTGCTTACCATTACCATTGCCTTAACAGAAAGTAACTACACTGTTATGTGTAAACACACACAAAAAATTTCGGCTGTGATTATATTCATTCTTTGAGAAATTATTCTCTGAAAAATTGGTTCATTTGCATTCAATAGATTTGGTTGCAAATATTTCCCCAGTAGCAGCACATAAGGTAGATAAATAATATTTCTATTTGTAGGCCAGAGTATACTGAATCCAATGTCATTTATTCCAAAATGCTAGAACAACCCAGCACCAAGTAATTTAGAGTCTACAAATGTGAAAAATGGCGCATGGTGGAAAACAAAAATGATCACCATTTGTAAACCGTATTCGATTAAAAAAAGTTTTTGAACAGCCAAAACATTTGGGAATTTATGTACAAAGTATGCTTGTCTTTTTTGTTGTTTTTTTTAGCCATAGTATATAGCCTATAGTCATTCAATTTACTTGATCATAACATCTAATAAATACTGAACTGATCTTCAACCAGAAATTAAATATTTACATGAATACCATATGGCAATTAAAGAAATGTATGAAGTAAATTAAAAAAAATAAAAATAAAAAAAATTAATTAGTTAATGATTTCTTTACAAAAGTAGAAACAGTGTGAATCAGTCATAATCATTATGTCAGAAGTTGAAATTGTGTTTCTATGAAATTTTATTTGTATAAATAATTATTTGATTAGTTATAAATGTACATTCTACTGCATACCCCAGAAATGATCAGTTTCATGAAAAAGCAATTCATAATTAAAAACATATACAATAAAAATTAGGATATTTAATTGAAAAAAATTGTTTTCTTTTTTTAGATTTGTTTTTAAATGTTATTTTATCACTTCCTACTTATGTAGTATAGAGGAAGTAAAGTAAGTAATGCCACAGCAAAAGAAGGCATTTTTCGTGGAAAAAAATTGTTTTGCATGTCCATGATATCGAAAAAGTGGATAATTCTTGTTCCTACATGTAGTAAATAACTTCCTCTAACACATATTCAGAATCAGTTTTATGCCCTTGATACTGAAAATTTGATTTCTGACAAAACATCTGATTGCAGAAACTAAAATTTGCAGAAGTTTAGTGTTATTTTGGCATCTTCAATCACGGTATTGAAGTTAGAGACGTTTTCTCCAAAATTAATCCTTGAATTGAGATCATGTAAAATTTGTGCAAAATATGAGAAGATTTCTTGATATTTAATGTGAAATAAAGGCAAATATTGTCAAAAAGGCACCAAATTAAATGTTGTTTCTTTCTCTTATTGAGAGAATTATTATTTTTCCAATCATTGAAAATTGTTTAAAACCGTAATTTTTAATTTTTTATGTTATATTTTTTAAAATTAAATATATTTCTTACTCTGATTCAGACGGAAACAGTTGCCCTGCTGCCAGCAAAGTGACTAACAAAATATGATTGGTGTTTGTTTCCCGTGGTAGGTGAAGTGCAACCAGCAGTTGGCCGTGGCGGTGGTGAGCAAAGTGCGTGCGCACGGCGAGAAAGGCGCCGGAGGGGACGGGGACGGGGTGTGCGGCGTGCGTGCGGGGGCGGCCGGGGGCGGGGGCGGCGCCGGCAGCGGCAGCGGGCCGGCGGACGAGAGCGACGAGGAGGCCAACCCGCTGAAGCAGCGGATCCGCCTGCGCCGCCGCCAGCGCCAGCAGCAGCACCATCACCACCGCCGCCAGATCCAGGTGTGGAACAGCCAGCTGCTCAGCGACGGACGCACCGACAGTGAGTACCCGCCCTGCTGCGTTCTCTGCTTTTCCCTCCGTGTTTGCTGCTCTTTCTTTCGTCATTTGCTCCCTTTCCTTTGTATGCATCGCTTCCTCTTTTACTCGTCTTCCTTCTTCTGCTCCTCCTCGGCCCACTTCTCGTGCTCCTCCTTGCCTTTCTTCTGTTTAGTCTACTGTTTCTTTTTCCTTGCTTTCAGATGTTTGTTACTTTAATTCAATAGACTAGTTATAATACTGGAATATAAGGCTGGTAAGTTTTAAAGCATGTGATTTAAATAATTGATTTAAGTCATGATTTATGAAATGATTTTTTTTTAATCCATGATTGAAATCAATATGTATTATTTGTAATATATGAAAATATATTTATATTTTAAGTATTTGTGAAATAAAAGTTTCTCAGATAAAGACGTCAATCAGTTACAGTGAAATCTCAGTATAAAGTACATGATAAAATCATTTTATTTATACTTCATACTGAAAAGTACTTTATATTAATATCACAGTTTTAACTAATTTATTTTAAATACTTTGCCCAAAAAACAAAAATAATGGAAAAAAGTACATACAGTATCAGTCATTAAAATATTCTCTGATGGAAATTTGTTTTGTCTTTTTGAGAAAGTTGCTTTCCACAAACTGTTCTACCTCATATAATGAATTGAGAACTGTCTCTGGAACATTTATATTTTTATGAACAGACACTTTTAACTTCTCTAGACATTTCACTGCCTCTGTTGAAGATACTGCTTCAATCTTTTCTTCCACTCTCAAGCAGTGTTCATGTCATCATCTTTAGCTTCCCCAGCAACAGCCTTCCAAGTTATGCCATATGGAACAGTCAGCCAGCACTTGCCTGAAAATTCTTAACATCCATCAGTATTGCAAATTGCCTCGCTTTTTCTTGTATCATTGGTCCAGAAACAGGAACTTCACTACACCTAACTTCCTTAAACCACGTGTTTACTGCCTCTCCTGAACGAATCTTCTTTCGATCGGGGCATATCACAGTTTGTTCATACATTCTTAGAATTTTTTCACTACTTCTTAAAATTGTTAAAACTGAAGTTGGCTTCGTATCGTACGCATGTGCTACATCAACCTGCTTCATTCCACTATCTATTTTTTTTTCTTCTCCACTTTCTGTTCTATTGTGATTTGTCTCCTTTCCTTACTTTCCGTTGTAACCAAATCGGGTTGACTTTTCATAAATACCACTACTAACCACCACAAAGTGCACTTAGAAAACTGAAACCACCACAACACAATTATTTGCAATTTAGAATGTTTGATACAATTACCAAGACATAAAATGAATTTCCAGAAGATGGTAATATTCGAAATTGGAAGAGTTGGGATTCTCCATCATGTGATCCAAAAATAATGACTACTACTTCTATCTGCTGTAATCATGGCGAATTAGGTCTTGGTCTTCACGAATTCGATTGACGTTTAGAATCAATATGTTATTCAATGCCCATTGGACATAACCATGAAGGAAATGTCATGAAATACATATTCCATGAAATCTGGGAGCAACAACAGATTGAAAAGGAATGAATATATTATATAAAAAAATAATTATCCATATATTTTTACTATGTAATACTGAAATAGATCCAAGTAAAGAGTTTGTAAAAGTGAAATATCTTTACATTGTAACATAAGACATTTAAAGAGGGATTTCAAATATGTACATAATACTGAAGTCTGTTATACTGAGATTTCACTGTACAAGTTTCATGTAAAGAATATATTATATTTCTTATCAACTTTTTGATTTGATTGAACTATTTTGAGAAATACAATGTAGAGTACAATAAAATGATCAAATTTATGAAAAGAAGAACAGTAAACAACTTGTAGTAGAGTTGTATATTAAGAGACTTAGATGTTCGATTAGTTTTTATCCAGCATTTTTGTCTGTAGATAAACTAATTTAGCAGCAATATTGCACTAACACACCAACAAAAACGTGTTTAAATCTTCAAGGGTGTCCATAATTCTAGATTTGTATTAAAATATTTGCTGAAGTCACTTAATATCTTATAGATGTGTATTAATAAAAATGGAATTTTATTAATGCTAACTAAAGACCAAAATTAATATTGTTAAAATTAATGAACACAGTAGTTAATCTTACTAGTTTTAATGATTTTAACCTTTTACTTTATTACATTTGTGAAACTTTACATTGATGAAATTCCATTTTAAAGGGGAAGCACACTTCCCCCTGGCCGTTAAAGGATTAATGGGAAAGTGTGCAAGTAACAACCATTATACCCTATTTTTTTTATAATAGGACAACTATTAAGTATAATTTAATGTTTCAAAAACTGACTACAATTGTTGTATGTTTTTCTATGAATTCAGTTGTTTTCAACAAAAAACTGCTTTTTGATTAAGGCGGTATTGCACAAAAAGTGGTAAAATTTCTTTCAACAAAGAATGCTATTTTTACTAAATCATGGTAATAGATGGTGCCGCAAGCTTATTCGGGAATGTGGACACGAGAAGTGTTTCATGAGCATGAAACTATAAGGAAATCAAATTTAAAGATTTTGGGTGTTGGGGCGGTATTTCACTGGAACCCTCAAGTATATAGTACTTTTATTTAAAAAAAAATAAAATTACAACAATTTAATGATAAATTAAAAAATTGATGTTTCAATAACCTTTTTATACTTTTAAAGCAATTAAGGATAAATAAATCACAAAACAATTTTGGTTTAAAGTAAAAACATCTAATAAAATTTCAATTAATCTTATTGAAATAAAAAAAATGTGATTAAAAAAATATAAAAAAATCATGATTTTTTCCAGCCTTTAAAATCTTTTCTTTTATGATTCTGGTCAGTTTATATTTGCAAATTAAGCATTAGTTGTTGGGTTTTCTTTTGTACTGGCCATTGCAAAGGTGCATATGTGTTCATAGGATGCAAAGTGTGACACTTGAATTGCCAAGCACTCTATGATGCTGATGGAATTATGAAGTGAATAGTATTGCACAGTCAGTGTTAAGCATGTCACTTACTGTTTCTTCAGGGTGATCGCTTTGAAACAGGGAATGTTTCACCAGCACAGTGCCAAGATAACCTGTAGTTGGGTTTTGTCAAGGAGTGCATCACTTTCTTTCAGGGGAAATACTTTTGATTTTGCTAGAATATCACACAAGGCTTTCACAGGGTTGAAGGCGATTTCATATCATCCTATAGAATAACTCACTACAATTGCATATGTTTTCTGCTCATCTACCTTGGACTTGCCAGGCAATTCAGTCCAATATTTTGGAATGGGTCATAAAAAATGAATCTCAAAATGAAAGTTTTATTTAAGAAAAAAAACACAATGTAAAAATGAATGAAACTTTTGTCTGTGGTTTTTTGATGTGTGGAACTCTTCGAGTTTGGAGTGTACTACTTGATGATACAAAATTTTCAGGGGGACTTAAAAATGTAGATAACATCGTAGTGCGAGAGGAGAATCGGAAAGAAAGTAAAATTAATAAAAGTTAAAAAGAAGATTGTAGGAACATTAAGGAAGAAGAAAAATGTATATAGTGCAGGCAAAGAGGAAAAACACAAATTTCCCCAGACAATTTGCAATTTTGTTGTAATTGAAAGAAATTGTTTAAATAAATCAGGCCACCTCTTCAAAATTGGGGGTTGACTAACTCAGAAGAAATATATATTTTCTTCACTTATTTTTACCTTTACAATCATAGGCAGTTGTAAAGGATCCGTCTTAAATGCAGTGAAACCTATTCATAAATTCTGCAGTTCCTTGTGTCTTTGACAGGTTTTTAAATGTATTTGCCGTAATATTTTATATAAAGGATTAGAAGATTTGAAATTCAAGAACTCTTTAGAATTCAGGTTGAGAAAGTTGTTGCATTTCTAATAATATTTTAGTGATTTATTCTTTACGTATTAATTAATGAATTCATTCTTATTTATTTATGCAATGGGTGAGCTATAAATTCTTTCACAATGTTTTCAAAGTTTTGAGAATTCATAAATCACATTTTTTAAGACTAATAAGTAGAAATATTGAAATCTTCTGAATTAAATATATTTTTCATGAAAACTATAAATACATGAGAAATGAACGTTTGACTTCATCTTTAACAAAATGCAAATAATGCTAAATAGGACCATTATCTCATTTGTTTCTCATTTACCATGTTTGCAACAACAGTGTTAATATAGTTAATATAATTAGTACATATTGTGAGGCCTTTTACTTTTGTTTAATTATACTTTTTTGTAGAACAGAAAGTTCAACATGTAAACTGGATTGAATTACTACTTTGATACAATTACAAAATACCCAATAATTTTTATGTGAAATAGTTTAATAGTCATGTTTACAACTCAAAATATTTCAACCATAATTTGGGAGTTACAGTAAACTGGTGAATGTGGAATTATGTGGTTAATATATGCTGTTGAAGTCGGTAGTCTTTAACTGCACAACCTTTTAGCGGTCTGTTCTTTAGTGAATGATGAACAACCTAAATTATTATAATACGAATTTGAAATGTGTTGCAGCAACCACCACAGATCAGAGCATTAGCCCTCTTTCGTCTTCCCCTGGAACCCCTTCAGAGAGCCTCTCTACTGATGGTGTAGATGATTTGGAAGTTGATGAAGTCCAAAACTTGGCGCAGCTAAAAAACTCAGGTATACTTTCTTAACATGTGGGTTAACACTGTGTTAGAGCATCTAAAATGGTACTTCTGTTCTAATTATTTGGTATAATTGTGTATTCAAGGATAACATAACATTTATTATGTTTTCAAGTACCCAATTCATAAATATAAAAATCCTTTGTGAAAGGTTGGCCTCAAACAATTTGAAAAATTTGATTTGTATCATTTTGGAAACACTTTGTGAATTGACTCTTTTGTATTATTGTGTGTCACTTCACAGATATATGGGTAATGTTGGAACAGAAAGTATTACAAAATATAAATTATGACTTTTAAAATACAAATTGAAGAGAATGGGTGAGAGTATTTAATTTTTTCCCCTGAGTTTGGTAAATATTTGACTTTTACATTTTCAATGGGACTTTCTGTGTAAGGTCTCTCTGTGTCGATGGCATCACTGTATTCCGAAGCAGACCTCTCGAGACCTGCCACTTCCTCGACCTCAGTATCGCGTGCTCCGGACGCTGGCCTAACGGAGTCGGTGGTGTCGGCGGAAGGAGTGGCGCTGTCTCTGCTCCGGCAGTTTAGCGACAAGCAGCTTCCGCGTGCCTCAGACCTCCAGTGGCTGGTGTCTGAACAGGACGCCCCCCAGCAGGTGAGGGAGGCCCTTCTATGGATTTACACTCTGCTTGGTGGCAGGATTAACGTGAGTACCGGCATTCCATAAACCTCCATGGTACAAGGAGACAAGGGTATACCAGAAAGGCATTGCGTCCCTTCTTCAGGTTGCAGGAAATGCGATATTTTACAGAAATTGTATTCAGATAAAATTTGATGGTGAATGTTGGTCGAACAAAATAAATTTTGCATGTGGAATTGAGATTGAGAATGTTTTTGTGATATCAAGATGCAAGCAAGTGTTGTAAACACAACGCAATATTTGTTAAATTAACATTTGTACTTCCGGATTTGGATCAAAGCTGTTGCATTTAAAGAAGCAAGGCAATGCTAAATGCCGAAATGCATTTCAAATCAATTACATAAAATTGTAAATTAATTGATTCATTGATATTATTGTAAAAGCATTCATTGATAGTGAAAGTCTATATTTAAAAACTAAATGTCTAGTTGTTCTCTTTAAGGCTGTACATTTTCTCTTTTGCTAGTTAAAGTATTAGAATGGATACTAAAATTAGTGAAGTTTCTTTTTGGAAATAATGAATCTTAATATTTGTATGGTTGAGGGGGTCTAGTAGGTGGAAATAGAATTCACTTGTGTTCTATTAACACCTTAATGATACTTATAAATATTAAGATTTTAAAAAACTTAAAAAGAAACATTTTATTTCGTAATCTTGCATGTGTTCAATCGTTTATTGGTGATCAGAATGAGTCAAAACGAAAATGTTTCCATTATCAAAAGTAGTGACCTAAATTTAAAATACTTGATTCCACCTGTTCTACTACCGCTAGTGAATAATGTGGAAATTTTAGGTGCATACTTTTTTTTTAGGGGGATAACCTTACCCTCAGTTCACTCCATAATTCCAATTTCTGTTCTTTTAATGAGACTTTTTGATTCTTTACATGTCATATTTCATCTTATTTAATTTAAAAATTAATAACAAATTTCTAGTCTGTGTTAAGGAGATAACAAGTGTAGAGGCAAGTCACACTGCAGCAATGAATTCTATTACTTAATTGTATGAAAAGTAAACTACTGCTACTTTATCTATGTGTAATCCAGTGATGTATGTTATGAATTTGACACATACTGGTATTATAAATTTTTCGAATAAAAATGGTACATTGAATCAAACCCTCCAGAAACAGAAACTTAATGTTGTGATGTACTACAGTATTAAAATTATATTTATTTATTATTATTATTATTATTATTATTATTATTATTATTATTATTATTATTATTATTATTATTATTATTATACAGACAAGTAAGTCCATTATTTATAAAAAGTATACAATAAAAAATTTGCATGTAGCAACATAATTATAAAAATAGAAACATTTATGAAGAAAAACATTCAATAATAACATATGAAAATATATCTGGTATAACAGTAGATCTACCAAGTCTACCCATTTAAATTTCAAGATTTTATTGCTCGCTAGTGATAAAAAAGCAGAGTTATCCATTTCACATGTATCAATATTGAAACTGTTACAACACCAATTAATAAAATTATTTGCTGTGTAAGATTAACAGTAAAATCTATTATAAAAAATATATATTTGGGTCTACAATTAAAGTTGTGTGTTTTGTACACTGTGGTTTTGCTAGATTTTGCAATTAACCTTGCCCAATATCAGTTTTCTCAAAATCAACAAGTCGTTCTAGTCCCTCTGAGAACTTAGTGAAGGAATATGCAATTGCAGAGCCAAGTCAATATATTCATGTTTTATACACGGATCTTCCAGTCCCAAACCATAGGCTGACATTCTGAAAAATTTGTGTTGGACTGTTTCAATTTGTGATTTATATTTCGNTTGGCTTGACCAGCATAAGATAGTGATCTCAAGACCACTACCGAGTGTAATTTGTGGCAGAATCTTTTCATGAGTCCCAAGACTTGGTTTGATTCAACTATTGTGTGATAACAATGATCCTGGAAAGTAATCCTGGAATCAAAAATCACGCCCAGACCTCTAATGGTATAGACTCTCTCTAGTGGAGTGAGATTCATCATATAATCAGAGGCTTCATTTGATCTAGATCTTGAAAAAGTTATAGTTTTACATTTCGCGATATTGAGAAAAAGATTGTTCTTCATGCACCACACGTAAGGCATTTAGGGTGTTTTGTATAAGGACTCTGCCTTCATCACATTGGATTTTTAAAAAAAGTTGCGGTCCTCAGCCAAAAGCAGATACTCCGTGTCTAATATACTATCAATATGTCGTTAATAAAGATGTTAAATAAGAGAGGACCTAGGTTTGACCCCTGAGGGACACACGAAGATGCCTCTATAGAATCGGAAACAATGCTCTTAAATGAAACCATCTGAACTGTGAAACCACTCTAGTATCGGTCCACTGTCCCCCAACCGCTCCGGTTTAACTGGCAAAATCTTGTATTTATATAGTATATGATTTGAAGGTGTGAGTGGAGGAAAAACAAATTATTCAAAATATAATATCTAGGAGCATGATTGCGTTTCAAAAAATTAAATAAAATTTAGTTTCAGAGAATTGATGATAGATACAACATGGCAATCCAGTGTTGGAAACATTGTCTAGAATATGGTGGTTTTCAAACATTCATATGGCATTTGGCTCTGAGAGAATTTCTATAGTCTTTAAAGAGAGCACAACCCCTAGAAAACAGGTTTTCAAAATTTTACACACTTGTCATCGAAAAATGTGCATGAATTGTATTTTTGGTTTTTAATTTAATATTTAATAAAACTACTAAATGTGTTTCTAATACAATGTTTATGGAGGTTTTTGCTGGGTGTTTTGTGAAAAGATCAAATAAGTTTAGTATTATAGTTGGTAGGTTGATTTAATTTCCATATTTAAATTGCAGTTTCGAAATTAATATAATATTATAAGACATGCTATTATTTTTAATGAAAGGAATCATTTCTCCATAAAGCTTATGCTGTATCTATGCATGTTTTTCTATTGCTTGCTAATTGTTCTACCATACCCTTCTCTCTTTATATCATGTCTAAGATAGTTTCCTATATATTCAAATTCTTTATTCTAATATATGGATTTGCAATTCATTAATTTGTATTGTATAACTTACTGCATTAAAGTAATGTGTGAAAACAAAATTTGAAAATTAACAGTTGTAAAGGAACATGGTTTTTTAAAAATTGGTAAATGAAATACATAAATAAATAAATGGAATGTAAATAAACTTACCTAATTTTTAAATCCTTTTGATTCATTTATTTTAGAATTTCATCTTCCCGCATTGGGTTTTAATTTCAAATTGTATGCCTGTGACACAGCTGATGAAATCTAAATTCATAATAATTTTAGAGAGTGATTTCTGTATTGTACATCTATTTCCAAATTCAAAAGAAATATTTTATATCGTTTGAATATACTTTACCTTCTGACTAGAATTGTCTATTATTATGTGCATTTGTAGATTGACTTATTTAGTATATTGCAGTATACTCCTGCTTTTGATTTCAAATCTAAAAATTCAATCCTTTTTCTGTTTAACTTTTTCTTTACTTTTTTCAGCTTTATGTACTTCATTTAATAGAGCATTTTGCATGTTAATTGGCTTTTAATTGATTTTTCTGTGTGTGAGTTCCCTTTTTATTACTATTATTACTATTACTATTATTATTACTATTATTATTACTATTATTACTATTATTATTACTATTATTATTTTAAATTTTCAAATTAAGCACATTAAGAATCAAAGTATTTTCTAAAATATATCATTACATTCAATGAATAATGTGTGAAATCAAAATTGTCATAATTGTAAATAGATAAAAATGGGGGCTTATTTGCCTGCCAGTCATGTAGGTACTGTTATATACTTTTCCCTAGTTTGATTGTTTATCAACATATGTTGCAGCTACTACCTTTGCCCACGAGTTGGCCAGTGAGTCCAGATGAAGCGGAGGATGCAGATATGCGTCAAGCAACACCTTTGCGTGGCACCACAGATTGGGCACCACCAAGACCCCAAGTGATTTTCACACCACATCCCAGCCCTGTGTAAGTTGCTCTGGTTTGGCTGGTGAAAGAGGTGCCTGCGTGAAATAAATTTCTACATAACTTAGAGGTTGAAAGAAAAGTGGTTAAAAGTCAAAATATTTTTTTTCTTTTAAACTTAATTAATTTTTATATATTTGATATCCTATAGATGTGGGAGGCAGTATTGGGTTACACACTAATCACTTCACTTTATGTACAAAATAACATTCTAATTAAACCATTAAAATAACAAATACACATTACTACACGTTAATTTAGGAGAGCACACGTCTTGCCTCTCTCACCATCATAGTCCAACTGTCCACTCGCTTCCCACGCAACAGTGCTGAGTTGTTTAACTGCGTCGCTATCTTCTTTGGCAGTAAATACCAAACAATCCTCCTCCAATTCCTACGTATATTTGAAAAATTGTTTTATCTGATTAGCTTGTAATGTGAAGCAATTTTAATTTGTAAAAAGTAGTAATTTTATTCATTTTTTATATATTCAATTTGGATAAGAACAATAAATTCAATTTGAAAAAGGAGAGCAGAGTTACTAGAAGTGAAGGTTCATTTATTGAATCTAAACAAACAGTAAATCACTATGGCATGAGGGTGGGGAACAATTTTTGTGTTTTGGAATCTTGAGCTTTGAAATGGCTACCCCTCTCTTTTACTATACACTTTAGTTGAGTTATGAAACAAGGAAGCAGCAAAAGTTTTTTATTACATTAGTTAATAGTACTACAAGAAATATTCGTTCTTATTTAATAGGAACTTTTTGTATCAGCAAATGAGCTACAGATTTGATTTTATTATACTGCTGTTGAAATAACTAACCCAAGCACTCTCCCCACTTCTAGCATCTATCTCTAACACGCACAGGTACGAAGAAACGAGTTGGGGCGGGGGGCAATATTTTTGAGCTCTCATATCCATCAGTTCATCCATCATTCTTTTGGACATATTTTTCAGAGTTTCTTTGAGGAGATTTTGGGTCAAGTGGCCACCTTTCAAGGTTGAATTTTTGTTCATTATTTCCAAAATTTGTCTATTATATTGCTGGTTTTAGGACAAATTGAACAATTCACAATATCTTTGAAGTTTTAGAAAAATTGAAGAATTTTTCTTGTATTGTATTCAACATTTTTTATGTAATACATTTAACATAATTTCATAAAAAGTATAAAATGACCCGTCAAAACACACTCAATTTATCAAGTTCATTATTTTTTGAGGATCTGAAATTAAATCATCAACTATATTAGCAAATTACAAATGTCCAGATACAACTTCAAGTAATTGATTCAAAAGTTACATTCAAATAAATGAAAATACAAAGTACATTCAAAATGTACAATTATTGTGCATGTTTTGGGATGTATGTACAATTTGTTGCCACAAAAAGAAAGTAATATATGATTGCCACAATCCTGTCATCCTTTTTGGGGGCAATATTATTATTGGAAAGGAAGTTTTATAGCAGTAAAGGAATCCAAGTAGTGATCTTGTTACCGAGAAACAAATGTATTTAATAATTAAATTTGTTCAAAGAACAAATTTTTATGAAGAAGCTACATTTCCTGATCAGAAGCAAAACATGGGGCTATTTCAGCATTTGCTCAATGGATGATCTGATTGGAGTAATTTTCCCAGAACCTGAATTACAATACTTAGACATAGTCAGAGAATCATACAATACTAATGATTGACTAATGGATGAATATCATTATTAAAATAAATTTTATTATCATTCTTGGTCTGATAAGTCTAATTGTATAGACTGTAAATATGCACCAAACTAGCCATATTAAGAATATTAACCTTTGTACCAAAAAAAAAAGTTTCTTTTGCGTTATGCTTCATTTCTTTGTGGGAGAAGGCTTGCTGTGATATGTTGGGTTGGAGGCAATAAAAGTTGTGTTCAAGAGTTCATCATTACTACCAACTTTCTAGATTGATTACTGAGTATCTTGTATAATTAGATGCATAAATAAAAGTTTGCCGCAGTGAACCTTATAAATATAAACACAGATTTCAAAAGCAAAAATAAAAGTTTGAATTAAAATACATAAAAATAGATGTTAATGTTAAATATTTTCAAAAGTAAATATGCAGAATAATTATCAATATACAGCAATACAATGCTAAATAAGAAAAAACGCAAAATATGCCTTAAATGCACTACAAAACCATATACATATGAATAAAAACAAAGTATTTATACTCATACCAAGTGAACGTACTTTTTTGATTGCAGAAAAAAAAAATTAATTAACTTGAAATGGAGTTCATGATTATTACCCCAATAAAGTTCGATATGTTTTTGTTTGACTTCATTTTATAGAAGTGCTTGGTTTGATTGAATTCCTTGATGCATTTTTATAGGGTCATAGATTTTCACTATGGATAACTATATTTGGAAATTTCTATCTTAGAGCTGCTGTTTATTTATTTGATACACCACTGATTGCTATCTGAAATTGCTGTTCAGAGCATCACTACTTTCAATGTTTTCCAGGCGAAGGGTACTAATGGCCAAGCAGAACTACCGCTGTGCCGGCTGTGGAATGAAGGTCGCAGTGGAATATGCACATCGATTTCGTTACTGCGAGTACCTGGGACGTTTCTTTTGCACGGGCTGCCACACCAATCAGCTGGCTCTCATTCCAGGGCGAGTCCTTACAAGATGGGACTTCACAAGGTATGCTGGCATGGTATTGTTATTTTCATATTTTTGTTACAGCTGACTTGGTAGCCGAGATTGCTAAGGTGATTGTGCCTTAAGGCTGTACCATACATTCATTATTCGGCGAGTGGCAAGTAATCGCTTGCCAAACCCCTGAGTAGTGTGGATGAGTTCCTTGTTATTTGCCAAGTGACCAACATTCAGTGCTCACCCTACTCTTCACATGTTGGACTTTGGGACACACGAAAGGGAGAAAACAATAGCTGAATACATTAGCTGTTTGGGATTGGGTGAGTTCGAGCTCAAGCAGTAGCAGTAGCTATTTGGTGAATGCCGAATGTTTGGCGCTGCCATTAGCAGTTTGAACTCAGAGTTGCAGGCATTGATGTGAGGTGATGTGGAGTGGCATGGTTGGGGCTTGTCCAAGCCGCCATGTATCACCTTACAAAATAATCTTTCCTTCCTGTCCCTTTCTTTGGTCTAGTACGAAATGGGTAGGGCAATGGTCTGCCTGCAGATTGGGGGAGTAAATCGCACTGAAAGTGCCCATGAATCATGTGCGCTTTACTCATTGTCCACCTATTCTCCCAAAATCTTAGCAGTTTTAAGTCTTGTTGTGAGGCTGTAGGTTACAGCAGGGATGCCATATTGGACAGAATTCTGCCAATTGGTCGAAAAATGCATCGACTTTTGGAAAGAAAATGTATTTTGCGGTATTCCATCCCACGGGGTGGAATCTATTGCTGGGAGGATTTGGGGTGGTACAATGCTTTTTTAGCTTAAATCATCAATAGTACCAACCTTTTTGAAATAAAGTGGAAATATTGATGTCTTTTGAAATATATGCACCTTGCTTAAGATTTTTAGGTTTGAAACTCTTGTAAATATGCAGTTACATTATGATATGTTGGTCCCTGCTTGTTTAGTTTTAATTAAATACGCATGTAATTGTGTCCATCCCTTTCTAAAATTTGTAGAAAAATTGATTGCTTACAATACGTAGGTTTTTTGCACTGGGATATTCAGTTTTAAACATGTTGTGAAAGGGTAGCAATTTGGTATTACCAGCCCCAGTTCCAGAGCTTGCTTTTTTAAACCGCTCATCGTTTTCCACCCCTCAGGCATTTGGCAGAATTGGGCGGATTATTATCCCTCCAATGGTGGATTTTCACAGAACAGATGTGGCAACTCTGGGTTATAGGCAGCTGTGTAGATACTGGTCGCTGTGGGTCTACAGACCTCAGCAGGGTGAATGAATGGAAGTCATGTGCATCTCAAGGGCAGAGGCTAATACAGACAGGCAATGCCTGTGAATTTCTGACAGAAATGCAATGACATTAAGCCAATGATGATTGATGAAACTTTTGTATCATATTTGTTTTGTTTTGTAGATAGTTTTGATTTTTACAATGCTACATTGTTCATTTTAGCATTATGTGGAAGAAAGTGCTTTTCTAGCCAGAGACTTCTAATAGACAGCAGTGGACATGATGTATTGAAGATAAAATAAGTATAATATTTAGATATCTAGGAATTTGGATCGTAACAGATGTGAGAATAAGATCAAATGCTTATTTTCAGTGTTCAGAAGTTGATGAATCATAGAGCAAGGAAGATACCATTACTATTTGTACATGGTTGAACTTAACTCTATCAGGTGTAACATTTTAATTATTTATTAACACTTGTGTCTATTTATACATATATTTAACAATAGTTATTACAATATATATTGCAATAATCAAATATATTGACTACAAATTAATGCCATTTTTCCTTGCACTAAGTCACACACTGTTCTTGATTTAAACAATATAACATACTAATGAAACACATACATTAGATTTTTTCTTTTTATAACAAAATGTGGAGTATACAGGCTCCCAAATATTTATATTGAGATTATTTGCTAATTTACAAAATTGCATTATCGGGTTGTTGACAATTTATGATGGTCTATATAAACACGGGGAGAAAGTATCATTTTACCTTAAAGAAGTAAGGGCCATAATCCTCTACTGTTCCAGCAAAAGAGGACATTCAATATTACCTCAAATTAGCTTATACAAAAACAAGAAATAGCCTCTCAATAGGAAGGAAGGAGATGGAGGAGGAAAAGAAGAAGGAGGAGGAGGAGGAAAAAGAGGAGGAGGATGAGGAGGAAAAGGAGGAGGATGAGGAGGAAAAGAAGGAGGAGGAGGTGGAAGAGGAGGAGGAGGAGGAGGAGGAGGAAAAAAAGGAGGAGGAGGAGGAGATGGAAGGGGGGGGGGATTTAAAGATGTAGATATCATACCATATTCGTGGTCAGCAAACTGATCTGGTAAATTTAACCGGCCTTCAGTAATCCTAAAACACTTATGTTCAACTGTTTCTAATGTATTAGCATGAATTTTGAATGTATGGGACCAGATTACTGAGGAAAATATGAATGTAAACATCAGGAGCATAACATGTTCTCAAGGTTGGTACATCTTTAAATCCACTGCATGCCCTCTTAATAAATCCAAGCAGCTGTTTTGCTTTATTTGGTGTGTAATCAATGTGCTCTTTAAATGACATCTTTGAGTCAAAGATGTCTAAATCATGTATAAGAGTCACTTTTTAGTGCAGTAGTGTTAATTGAATAGTTGCACAGAAAGATGGCATTAGAACATGAAAAGGAAATAAATTTACAATTATGAGGATTTAAAATGAGATCATTACCTTAACACCGTTTTGAAAATTTGTTGAGTGCATTTCATTACAAGTTTGAATCTTTTTCTGATGTGATAACCTTAAAAAGTTTACTATCATGTGCAAATACCAAAAATTTGACAATTTAAGATTAAATGCAGATCATTGACAAATATTGTAAAGAGCAGCAGACCTGATGAACACCTTGTCGAACCCCAGATAACACTTCAAACCAATGCAATAAGGAACCTAAGGTACCAAAAGCATTCAATTTCTGAATAAGTAAAATATGAACTGAATCGAATGCTTTACAAAAGTCAGTGTAAATACTGACTTCCTGACATTAATTATCCATGTCAGTTACGATATACTATGTACAGTGTATCAGATTCTATTCAATATTCCTTGTGCTCATGAAGCCAAATTGTTTAATGTGAACTAATTTTATATTTTAGATGAAATTAATGACTCAAGACAGCTTAAAACCTGCAACTCTCTCTTATATGTCCTACACACTATCCAACAAAAGATTTAATCAAAAGCAATGGAGCAATTTTTTGAAAATGTCCCAGGGGCTTCATTCAGAGTACACCCCAAAATAAAAAATTGGTGTTGAATTCAAGAAGCCGCAACATCATTTAGATCAATTGGGGTATATTAATTTTGGAGAAAATCAGCTGAATGGTTTAGCCATTAGCGTTGTTCAAAGATGAAAGAACAGACACGTTTTTCCAACATCGATTTTTTGCTATCAAGAACCCACACAACGTGGATTCTGGCTACACTATGTATTAGAGGACTTTTTTCATTTAGCAACTGGATTTATCCACTTTTTAGTTACTTTTTGATGCTTAAAAGTACCTGTTGGAAAAAATTAACACCTGAACTCACGCATTCTAAAATGTGCAACAGACACACCTTTACTTTCACATTTCTCTCTCAAAACTCAACAAATGGTTAAGATAATCTCTGTTTCTGCTATAACAATGAACAAGTATCAATAAACGAATAGCTAGAAGAAATTAACTACTGATCCATTTCATGTAACTATGCAAAATGTTCTATTGTAATTTTTCTGACAGCACGAGTACTTGAAGGTTAATAATTTATCACAAAGCTCTTTGAGAATTTGGAAAACAATTTAAATTGGATTTCTTGAAGACAATTGCCGGCGTGCCATCTGGGCTCACGCAGCTATGAGTACCATGTGTATTGATTCTCTCTAAAATATCTGATACTGATATGGCAACAGCATTCAGAATATATGGAATTTGATCTTCTGAATTAATGCTCATGTTAACATGAGAGGGCGTATAATATATAGAAATTTGGTCTGCAAATGCTTGGATAATTGACTCAATATTGTCATAGGCTCTACTTCCTCTTCTTCTTCTCTTCCTCCTCCTCCTCCTTCTTTTCCTCCTCATCCTCCTCCTTTTCCTGCTCCTCCTCCGCCTTTTCCTCCTCCTCTTTTTCCTCCTCCTCCTCCTCCTTTTTTCCCTCCTCCTTCTTTTCCTCCTCCTCCTTCTTCTTTTCCTCCTCCTCCTCCTCCTTCTTTTCCTCCTCCTCCTTCTTTTCCTCCTCCTCCTTTTTTTCCTCCTCCTCCTTCTTCTTTTCCTCCTCCTCCTCCTCCTTCTTCTTCTTTTCCTCCTCCTCCTCCTCCTTCTTCTTCTTTTCCTCCTCCTCCTCCTTCTTCTTTTCCTCCTCCTCCTCCTCCTTCTTTTCCTCCTCCTCCTCCTCCTCCTTCTTCTTTTCCTCCTCCTCCTCCTCCCTCTTTTTTTCCTCCTCCTCCCTCTTCTTTTCCTCCTCCTCCTCCTCCTCCTTCTTCTTTTCCTCCTCCTCCTTCTTCTCCTCCTCCTTCTTCTTCTTCTTCTTCTTCTTCTCCTCCTTCTTTATCTCCTCCTTCTTCTCCTCCTCCTCCTTCTTCTTCTTCTTCTTCTCCTTCTTTATCTCCTCCTTCTTCTCGTCCTTCTTCTTCTTCTCCTCCTCCTTCTTCTCCTCCTCCTTCTCCTCCTCCTCCTCCTTCTTCTTCTTCATCTTCATCTTCTTCTTCTCCTCTTCCTCCCTCTTCTTTTCCTCCTCCTCCTCCTCCCTCTTCTTTTCCTCCTCCTCCTCCTCCCTCTTCTTTTCCTCCTCCTCCTCCTCCTTCTTCTTTTCCTCCTCCTCCTCCTTCTTCTTCTTCTTCTCCTCCTTCTTCTTCTCCTCCTTCTTCTCCTCCTCCTTCTTCTTCTTCTTCTTCTCCTCTTCCTCCTTCTTCTTCTCCTCCTCCTCCTCCTTCTTCTTCTTCTTTTTCTTCATCTTCTCTAACATGAAGTTCAATCTTAACAGAAATGAAACCATAATTTCTGTATTTTACCTTACTTTGATTACTTTATTCCATTTCACGATTATTTTCCTTTTTTCTCTGGGTACTGATCTTTATTAAGCTTAGACAGTATGTAAATGGTGTTTTGTCTTTCTGTTCAAACAGAGGCATGAAATCTGAAATGAAGTGTTAAACTCAGATTAAAATTTAGAATGTTTTAAACACAACTGCCAGCAAGTGACGTGATTCCTATTAAGACTCCTTTCACTGATGCCAACAGCTTTTCTTTAGCCATGAATTCAATCCTGTGCTTAAGTATGGCCATTGGCACCTTTACATTGGTTGCATGGATTGAGGAAATGTTGCATTGGGTGCCACTAGCAACCCTAAACCTTGCACCCTGTACTTTGCCTACAGTCAATCAGATTCCATTGCGGATCTGATAGGCCCTAACTACCAAGTGAACTTAACACTGAACCAAACAGATTCCCTAGGTTTCTGTAGGACCAGTCATTTTCATTTATTGGTCACCTATATTGTTATCTAATTAATTTGACTAGGTCTTTAATTAAGGACTTACAAATAAGAAAGAAAAACATTCACCAACCCAAAATGCCTGTCTGAAATGGCTTCAAGTCAACGCAAGTGTAGGAATTTAGCTGGGACTTCAAAACAACAATGAGTCAATAAGAAAAACATACATGTGCAATAGATGCAAATTGAGTTTTAAAAGCCTTTTTGCTTGCAAAATAAATGCCTGAACTTCTAGGCTCTGGTTTTCATCGTTGGGTTTTTCGGCTTGTCAGCAGCATTGATTCTCTTCTCTCCGTTGTTTTATCTATCAGGTCAACCTCCTCCCTTTATGTGGTGTAATATTTGTATTCGTCTTCTTCTCATTGTCCTTTTGTACTATTCCCAAAACTTCTCTCACTTTTTGCCCTTCAAAAGAACCGTATACTGTTCTTGTTTCATTTTGTTATCTCTCGTAACAGAGAGCACCAACATATTTTCTCTTCAACATGTATTCTTCAAGAATAACAGTACAATGTATATATATTATTCAAGATTAACATTTAAAACCCTCCATTTTGTAACATGGGCTCTTACCAAAGTTGGAATTTTACTTTCCACCTTCAATGCTTGATCACATGTCAGGAAACACCTTACTGTGAGTGGAAAACTTTCAATTAACTCGTGAATGAACTATTGACATCAGATGAGAGACATTACTTCTTATAACTTTACAAGAGTGAAGCATTCATTTGTAGGTTCCTTAAGGACCCTGGAATGCCTTTAGCTTATTCGCATAATTAGAGGAAGCCAATTTGTTAAAACTATTTTATTCACTTTAGTTATATAAAGTCAATTCTCCAATCTTCTATTGTGACATGATGTCTTAATAATATGTATTTCTTAGATAATAAACAAAATAATGAATATTTGAAGCAATGGCTACTGATGTTTGGAATAGTTTTATAGTAATATTGCTCTTATGAAATCCTTGTTAAACCTAACAATACGATTGTGTGTTTCAACTAAGTCATGTGTTACATATTATAGAAGTATTTCACATTGCAGTTTTTTTTTCCCTGAAGATGTAAGCTTTATTTGTTTTGTAGGTGTCCAGTTTCAAATTTCTCCTATCGTCTACTGGATCAAATGATGGGTGATCCACTGTTCAGGATATCAGATCTGAATCCTGCTTTGTATCGCAAGGCCCGTCAGTTGGAACGCACACGACAGCTAAGATTGCAGCTTTACTATCTTAAGGATTTCATATTTACATGCCGCTTTGCAGAAGAGTACGTTTACTTGACATTTTGATCTTAGAAGATAAGTTGTACAAAAATTTACAAAACGATTGTATGTGTTTATACAGTGAAACCTGCTGAAATACCCATCTTGATTAAGCATTCACCTGCATTAACAGAGGCATTTTTGTGTGGAACTGATTGATTTTTCCACAAAATAAACATAAATTTTCCCTCCTTTAAGTGGTCTCCTGGCTTTGCAGTCAGCGGTCAGGCATACTTGGTAGATTATACTGTATTTAATTGAGACAACTTCCTGAAGAATTTGGGATTTTCATCCGTAATATTGTAAAAAGTGAAAGATCAGTGGATATTACTGTGTATTCAGTATTTTCCTGCATCTAGATGCAATGTCAATAACATCTAGAAATACTTATTGTTTGCAGGTTAGTTAGTTAGTTTCAGGTAAGAATAAATTATTTTCGTACATGTTCCGAAATTGCCTCGGCGTGAAAGGTATCTTCAGATCTAGTTGGCAATCAAGTCCACTAGTGAGAAGGCCAGTGATGTGAAACGTAGATTGGAAAAATGGGAATTTATTTTTTTATATCTTCTGTTGAAGTACTAATGCACAAAGAAGTGTGGAATTCTGTTAATTCAGAATGTGTTAAATAGCATCAATATTTCACTTTCATAACAAGCAATAATAACAGCAAGAAGCAAAATTAGGGTGTATGCCAGATTCTCCTATTCACTCTCATTTAATAGCCATTTTTGTCTGGAACAATGAGCAACTGCTTAAAACAGGTTTCACTGTATGTGTGTGTGACATATACATATAGTATGTATGTATGTATGTGTATGTGTGTATATAAAATAGTAATAAAAAAAGTAAGGATATGTATATTATATTTTTTTCCCATCATTTTAACTTAAAAATTGAGACATAGTTCTGGGGATTAAAAAATTAATCTGTGTATGTAGGTTGCAGGAAGTACTCAAAAAGGAGCCAAGTTACATAATAACTGATTTAGATATTTACTCGCTGTGTGATCTGCAGCAAATAAAGACTGGAGAACTGCCTAACCATTTTCGTGATGTAATTCTTAACTGCACCCAACATGTAGCTGAGTGCTCAGTAAGTAATTTTTATAGTAAACACTTTTCTATGAGCATATCATATTGACTAAAATTATTAGTTGGCTGTAAAAAGTTGATATTTGTTTTTTATATAATAGTCTATCATTAAAAAATCATTTTGATACTCATTCTTTAAGTGGTCAGTAAATAATATATTCACTTTTGGGTGGGTAAGGAGTTCCTTACATCCATCACAAAAGTGAAAATTTATATTCTCAACATATGTTTATGTTGTAGTTATGAAAAATTAAGTAGTAGTAAATTATCATATTACATTATTAAATTTCAAGTTTTGTAATATTTATATATTTTAGATATTAAAATATAAATGAGTATTCAAATTCATCAAAAACAAATCTTGATTCAATTTAAAAATGTATATTAAAATATGCAAAAAAAAGAAGAAAAAAAAGAAAATAATAATAATAATTATAATTATTAGTGATTACTTGTATTTAAAGTTCAAGGGGAAAGATGGGGTTGAAACAATATTTGTGTCCGTGTTTGTAACAGTTGTTACGGAGAAGAAGGGTAAAGGGTTTTAAAAAGCTATATTTTGTTATTGTAGTTTTGAGAAGCCTTTAATACATCTTCAAAATATCATGTCAAATTTTATCTAAAAGTTCATTGAGTTACTATATTTCTGTATGTTCATATCTTAAAATATTTATCTAACATCTATAGCAATTAATCAAATCATATCTTTTCCAGTTGTGCTATGCTCGTGGTTTTGTGTGTGAACTTTGTCCCTCAAAGGAAGTAATCTTTCCCTGGCAATTGACCCGCGTGACACAGTGTGGTACATGTGGCCAGTGTTTCCACTCCGGCTGTTGGCTTGGAAAAGAATGTCCGCGGTGCAGACGCCGCAGTGCGCGACGTCATAGTGGAGAGGAGATTACGGTAGCCCCAGAAGCAGCTAGTGCAAGCCCTGTAGCCTCATCAGTTGCTGCGTGAGTCAATGATAAACACTAGTGTCACATTCATAGTGAAGTCATTGGAATTGGTCTCTGCATGATTACATTAAGGCATACAGAGTACACTGCTTATTCTCTCAAGAGATGTGTTGCTACACACATTTTGCCATAGTGGAACCATAGAAATATGATAAAGGTCATTATGCCAAGGAATGTGCAAATGAACTTTCAACAAATGATCATTGCATTATCAGTTTAGTTTTCAGTTTTATTTTTTATTTGCAAAGTGTGCTTTCATAGATGTTTCTTTGCTAATGAATTTCCATAAATCAATATTTAGGCTTGGGGCAACAGACAAACGAGTTGAATTTTGTATGGCAAACTGCATAAACTGAGTTTGAGTGTAGAATAATTTTTCAAAACTTTTGATTAATTTTCAAGTCTCGTAATTCATTTATTTACAGGTGCTTGCTTTTGAAAATCATTCAAAAAAGAATTCACATATATGTTCTAATAACTTCAGTGTATTGTATAATTACAAATATGTACTTGCTGACAAGTAAAGTAAATTATTCACTCTTTTCATGAACAGAGATTCATTCACTTGGAACTGCAGTGTTTTTCTTAAATTTCTTCATAAATATTTGAGAATGCCAATCATATACAACGAAGCTGAAAGCAGAAAGAATGACAAACACTGTTTGATTTTACTTAAAGATCATTGCTCAGTACTTGTAGTTTGTTACATGTGATAAGGGTTTTTTTGGTATGGATACATGTTTTGTGGAAAGAGATTGTTTATACGAAACATTTTCATAAAATTAAGAAATTGCAGTTGCACTTCGTTAAGAAATTTTTCAAGGATCAACTACTTAAGTGAGGAAATGTTTGATATGTACCCTTGACTGACTTCTTAAGTATCTGAACTTTGTAAGAATGAAAAAGGAGAGTACATTTTATAAGATTTATTTTGATCCTTTAATAATTAAACTTCTTAACGAAGTTCTACTGTAATTTTGCGTACTAAAAATTTAGTTTTCAAGTAATATACAAAATGTATTCCAGTGCCAGTCTTGCATTTGTGAGACAAGAAATGGAGGGAGAAATGTGATGTGTTTAAAATATATATAAGAATCTTAAATAGGTGCTTTAAGAAAATATGGCAAAACATCTTAGGGCTGTGGGACACAATAGCCTTTGCAGTTCATAACAACTTAAAAAGTAATTCCTCTGTAGTCTGTGATAAATGTTTCAAACCAAAGAAAACTAAAATAATGTAGAATGTTTTTTTGAGAGCTATGTGCACATGATTATTACTTGCTGACAGACTGTAACTGCTCTCATCTTATCTCATCTCATGTGAAAAAACTTTCCTGAAAGGTATGGTTAAGGTTCAGAAATGAAGATCTGTGAATAATGAATCTCACATATAAATTAAAGAGAAGGGTTTGGGAGGGGAGCATGTCACATTTTCTCGTTTGAGATTAAAGAATTGAGTCGTTTGTGGATTATAATAAGAGCAATATCTTTTATGTGAATTCCCATTTTCTTTTTAGGTTTTAAAGGGAAAATGCTTTCTCCAGTTACAACACAGTAACCTGTTTGACATTTAACTGTGTAAAATTCTTCACTAATGTACCAATCATTTTCCACTAATTCATAATTTTCTTTTACAATTACAGGATTAAATTCCTTAAAATTCTTGTCCCTTAAGCATAAAGTTGGTTGTATGATTTGACCGTCACCTTTTTTTTCATGATCTAGTTATGGATGAATACATGCCTAGCGAAATCTCTTTTCCATTTTATCATGAAAACATCTACCTGTTTACTTTTTATAATTTTCAAAAAGTTTCTTAGCTGTTCTTACTACTATGTATTTTTCTATCATTCATGTAAGGATCAATCTTCATTACTTACGACACACATTTTGTATCTTTGTAATCTTGATGTGGAGTTGGTTGATCCATTTATGAAATTTGTATGGATATTTTCTAAGAATATAGTCAACAGTCGTGCATTATGACAAAATCAAAAGAGTAAAAAGCATCATCAAGTGGTCATTTTCAAATAAAATTCAAATGTATAAACTGCTTGTAAGTTTAATTTCTATAAATAATCAAATTATAAAATAGAAGGTTGATGAAGTACAGCATAAATGATTCTCTTATGGAACATTAAAGCTAGGATTAAAAAAACCCTTACTGAAGCAGGATTGCATCAAATTTTTTGAAATGATGAATTTACCAGCACTTGAATCACATGAAAACTGCATGTTAACTTTCATGTATAAATTCTCAATGGGACTAGAACAAAATCTGGAAACACAAGATTTATTTACTCATTATTATAATTCAAATTTTAATATAGGTACTTTTTTTTAAGTTAAACTAAATTCAGCATCATTAGGTGTCAGTCTTGTAAGGTGGCTCCATTCGTGACTTTCACATATAATGCGCACACAACAACAATTCCTTGGTGCCCTACCCTGGTTTCCCATATCTATGACGGTAGGGTGTTGACTTGGCATGACAACTTGTGCCTTCTGCTTTGAAAACAAGACTCAGAATTGCATATGTTCTGTAGAAAATATATGCCAGACTATTAATATTTCTGAGTATTTTTCTTCAGAAAGTAGTGTCTACCTTGGCCCACTGATGCTATGTCACTGATAGTTGGATTATTTATTTCTGTGAATGTGCCATCTCTCTTTGTATTTCTTTGTGATATTGCGTAATTACATCCAGTTTTATGTGATCTTTGTGTGTGGGAATCATTGTCAATATTTGCTCTTCACTTTCCTTGTTTGTGAACCTTCCCAGGAAAACATCCATGACATGTATAAAAACTGACCTTTATCGAGTACTGATTGTTTCATTGAGATGAGAAAGGTAGTGCGAAAGAAATGAATTGATGAAATTGTGATGCTTACTAAAAATTCTATATTAATAGCTTGTAACCAAATGTTTTTGTGTTATCTGGTGTCATTTTTCATTTTATTATATAAAATTCTATCTCAGAAATCTACATTTAATTTCTTGAAATATTTTGTGCAAGTGCCATGTAGTAAATTTAAAGATCTGTTGATCAGTATTTTTCTTTGCATTTACTACTTTAAAAGACACATAATAAACTAGAACTAGCCATGTAAATATATTTAATACACTACTTACATACAATGCAGCTATTCTATTTTTCATTGTAATCAAATATGTATTTTTCATGATGGGTATCCTTGCTGGCAAGGATACATGATGTTATATACTTACTTTCTGGCATGTATAGAATTCATGTTTCACAAATGTAAATCGAGTTATGAAATTTCACTCTGTAGATACAAGTGTACATTTAAGTAATTTATGAATATTTATTAAAGTGAACCTATACGTGTTAAATTTATGCTCACTTCCTTGATATGTTGCTAATACAAATTAATGAAGCACTTCTCATTATCTTGTATTTCCATTTAGTAAGATTCATGGATTTAGCCATCATTATATGTGTGCTGTTTTCCCCAAATAAAAGACTGTTGCAAAAAATGTGCTTTTCTTCTTTGTTATACATTTCAACCTTACTCATTTGAATATCTAATTATCATCTTATTGTGGATTTTAACCAGTTAACCTTAAACTATTAGGCTGTGTTGAATACATAATTCTTGTCATATAGTTATCTGCAGGTGGCTAAATCAAAAGTAAAAATTCTGAACTAATATTTTTCTTTTTGTCAGTTTTTTGCCTACCAGTTGACGAAGCTAGGTGAGTTCCCAATTTAAGTGTCTTTGCAATGTTGTAATTTTTTTGTAGCAATAATTTGAATCAATAGGACTTCAGTCTTGTGTCTGACTCCAAACATGAGGTATACGCACCTCAAATTACTCATTTCGCCTCCAAATCACATTTTCTCATATCTGAAAAACTGCATTAGTCAAAGTGGAAATTACAATGTTTCATTGATCAATATGAAAGATAGCTTTCTCGACTAAAAATTAAGTAATGTACAAGACTGCAAATTGAGTGAGAGTCATATTGTACTCAACCTAGTGGAATTTTTCCTAGCACCACCTAATGGAAGAATGGGTAATGAAAGTGGATTCTTTACAACTGTAACTTTTCTGTAACTTATTTTCAATTGTAATTTGCGTGTTTGATATTGGTTCTGAGTGATTGATATGCAGAAAATCTTGACATTTTTTGTTACATCAGTACACTTCTGCATTGAGTGATAGTTACATTTGGAAATAGAATGTGAAAGATACTTAAATTTTTATCTAAAATCACTAATGGATGTTAAGTGGTTTTTATTTTCACAGTTTGTGTTCACTTGAGTACATTGTGAATTCCGCAAACCTGGTATGGAATTTTGTTCAGATGATAAAAGGGAGTGTAAGATGGAATTACTGCTGTTTCAAGTAAGTAATTATTTGTAGAAAAATATGAAAAATTAATTTATCTCCTCTTTTAACAACTGGATTGTTTCAACAGGATTTAATGAAAATGGGACCTCTTCATTTAGAAACAAAGATTTTCTAAACATTCCTTTGATTCTATTTTTTCTCAATAAAAAATTATCACCGTTATGATTGGAAAATTGCCACAGAAACATAATTTCATGAATTTTTAAAATACTGTTCATGTAGTTGATGTTTTCAAGGTTTCACAAAATAATGTAAATATTGACACATTCTAATCATTTGTATTGTTAAGATATAATGAACCACTATTCAGTTATCTTTTGTGATTTGATAAGTCAGAAAACACAATCTTTGTAATACGAATTTATTGAAAAAAATTAGGTAATTCGAAATTAAAATGTAACTAGCAAAATTTAATCTATAAGTATAAGAGGAAAAAGAAGCATGTCAAGAACAGAAGATTGG